GAGCCTTGTTTTCATCTTGCCACACTACATTATTTTAACTTATATTTTTTGCTATATTTGGCAATCCCGATCCAGAAATTCACGGAAAACTGGAGACATTTGGGAAAAGTGCAAGAGGCATTGCCTCCTATATTATGAAATGATGATGAAAACATTCATCTCCGATTAAAAGACCCATATCTATTTTATATTAGTTTTTCTTATGAATTTTAAGAGTAACATCCAACTGGAACAACCAATTCAGAAAAGAACTTGACAAAATATTACCAGGTGCAGGGCCAGTTAGGCCCTGCAGGCCAGTTGGCAATAACACCTGGTTGACCCAGGCATCAACAACTGTGCCTCACTGCCCTGCCAATAGTTTTCAAAACGGTCACAGTACATTACTGGTAAAACAACTATAAAACATGGATGTTGTGGATAAAATCTGAACATTGTTGTAAATTATTTTAATTTTCAAGTATCCGATTTCACCCTTATCATTAAAGTAACACTGAGAAGCTGTTTTATATCCATGAAAATAAGTTTATTTAAAAATACAGGTATAAATAAACTACAGTTACCCAGATTTATGAGACCTATAATTACATACATAGTGACACTGATAGATAACATAAGGAGAAGCTCCAAAAAGTCACGAGCTTATTTCCATGGTTCTTGTAATATTGATTTAAAGAAAGCCTAGCTTTTAAAGGATACAGGAAGTGAACATCATATCTCAGTGTATAAACTTGTGTATGTACCACGATATACAAAATACGACAAAGGTCAGTTAGCGTGCACTGACTGCACATTCGCTTTTTTTTTTTTTTTTTTTTTAATTACATGGCATTACAGGCCTAAGATCTAATGGCCTTTCTATTCTTTTGTTAAACCCTTTTGAAGTTGAGATTTAAAGACTATTGTTTTTATTGTCATTATATAACAATTAGTAATACATCTGCTTATCCTCTCCCAGGATTATATTGACAGTTTGATTTATTTTGTAATTATTACTATCATCTACAGTAGTTAATTCGTCTAGAAACCTGTATAACCCTGTAGTTTTTAGTCCTTCCTCAAATTTGTGCTTAATTATAGACTCTCCCACCTTGTTTACACATTGGTAACTTTCCCCAAAAATGCAAACCACATGTTTATGTATCTTCTTCTTCAGTAAATGTAGATTTAATATTTTTAGTATATATTATTACAATAATGCCCTGAAGTTAGTTAACTTTCCCTCCCTCCCCCCCCCCCTCCCACAAATATTTGTAAGAGTACAAAACTGAAAATGGGAATTTCTACCACTGTTTATTTGCAGGCTAAGAGCTGTGTTGTGTGTGTGCTCACTTCAAAGCCTAACCATAATATTTTGTCCCCAGAACACGATCTGCCAGTCGATTTTCATCCAGGTCCCCAGTTGCTGCTGGGTGCACAGGGGCAAAATGCAGTGAAGGAACTATGCCCAAATCATTCCACCCTGCCCAGGATTCGAACCTTGGACCTCTTGCTTGTGAAGCGAGTGTACTAGCCACTACAACACATAACAATAAGTAACTAGACTTCAGTTTGGTTACTGGTTCCTTATTCCTTAAGTGTGTTTACCTTAAACTATTCTAAGAGCTTATTAAAGTTCTAATTGGGTAATAGTGTATTTGATTTTTTCAAATATTTATGACCAGTTAATGGGCAGATTGCAACCCATCAGGTTTCAAGGTAGCATTTACTGGGAACATCCTCTCCAATACAGATAAGTGGTCATGCATCTATATTAATAACATTATTTTGTTTTTTTAATTAATTCCCTTACAGAAATGAAACTTGGTTGAATACAAAAAAAAAATAATCAGGTCAATACAAAAAAAAAAATGATCTGTTCTGAAGATAAAACCAACCTAAACCAAAATTTTTCTCTAATACTTACTGGAAATATGTGAACAAGGATAGAGAACCCAACATCAGGCCCGTCAAACTTTTCAAGGCTTTGCTTATTCATCCAGTCTTATGTCAGTCATATTCATTGTTCCTCGACGCATCTGCTTGTTTTTAATTCCAGTTACCTTCAAGGTTGATTTACATTAACTATTCAAATTATACTGTACTTCTGTAACACTTTACTACAATGGTTTTTGTGTGCTTTTCGATTCAACTCCATTTATTGCTCGTTTATGCATTTTTGTAAAAAAAAAAAAAACTTTCTTGTGCCATCATTCAGTGTCCAAAATATTAGCTCCTGCCTCGCCCTATGCTTTCTCAGTGCTGGAGTACATTTTTTATAGCGTTCTTACTGGGATAACTACACTGTTTAACAAGACCTTGGCGTTTTTTCACCTGTGCAAATATGTTTTTGGCATTCAATGAATTACTGTAATGATAGAAAAGGCTTTGTTGGTGTTACGAGGACAGGCTGGTCGATTACAATCCACAAAAAATTATGCAGTTTAACACCAAATGTTATATATAGATACTCATATTTTTTGAAAAGTTTAAACCACATTTGAAAATAAAGGTTTCTAAAAAATCATTTTCATAATGCAGTGAAAGTGATCAGAGATACATTATATCTTCTGGCTTCCTAACGACTACTCTGCCAGCAAACTTGCTAGGTACAATTTCTGCCTCAAGGGGAAGGAGGAATGACGCTAAAACTTAAGTGGGTTTAGAATGTGCTCATATCAGGATTAAACCAAAGTATTGGTATCAGCCTAGTTTTCATAGTAATGGTATAGTCCCAAATTAGGACTATTGAGCAAATATTTGATGAGGTTGGAGGGTGTGGTTAGCATCTTAAAATATTGGGTATTGAAAGGATTTTGGTATTGGGGTGATTGCCATCCCTACTACAATTATTATCACAAAATCATTGATTAAGCATTCCAAACTCATTGAGTGTTTACTATTCATCACATTTTTAAAACATACAGTACTTAGATTTTGGGGAGGGTACACTCCTCTGTTGTGTGTATATCATTGAGCGGGATATGGTGCATACCTCTGTTTGTGGTTGTTCGTTTCTCCTTATCAGGTCAATATGTCATAATGCATGAAGATTACATTTACATATGTTATATAGGTGTAAGCATGGGTTGAAAATGCTGCAGAAAAAGGAGGCTGAGGCAGTGGATGTCACGTCTAAAGGGCAATATGTGGTGTAAATATTATGCAGAGAATTCATAGTGTGGAAATAAGGTGGTGGTGTGGGGTTATTAAAAGTATTATTCAAAGGGCTAAGATGGGTTGTCGAGGGGGTTTGGTCATTTAGAGAGGATGGAGCAAAATAGGATGACTTGGAGGATTTATAAATCTGTAGTGGAAAGGAAGAGAGGTAGGGTTTGTCCTAGGAAAGGATAGAGGGACGGGGGGTAAAAGAAATTTTGTGTGCAAGGGGCTTCAACATGCAGCAGGCATGTGTGAGCATGTTAGATAGGAGTGAATAGAAATGAATGGTGTTTGGGACCTGACAAGCTATTGGAGTGTGAGCAGGTAAAATTTTTCTGAAAGATTCAGGTAAACTCGTTTTAGCAGACTAGAGTCCCTGGAGGTGGAAAGTACAATGCCTGCACTTAAAGGAGGGGTTTTTTGGAAAATTGCTGTTTAGAGTGAAATCTAAACTATCATAACTGGGCACTTTGGGTCATAACATGATTGTGTGAATGATGTGAAAGATGGTTGAATGATAGTGACAGTTTATTTCTTTTTTTTGGGTCACCCACCCCTGCCTCAGTGGGATTTGCTTGGTTTTATGAAAAAAAAATATTTATCTTTTTTTATCTTTTATTTAATTGAATAGTAGTGTTTATTGTTCAGTTCAGTATGGTGATATTAAAGTTTTTTTCGACATACTATTTATTATCGTAATGTGTCCACTGAGAGGGTTCATACTTATATCCGGGGCATGTATGAAAATGATTTCTCTTTCGAAGACTTGGTCATAATAGTAAAGATTGTAAGGACACTCAAGCACCAGGCCCATACATACTTTGGTTGAAAATAAAGTTGAAAATATTGATAATTCTCTACAATACTGAATAACATAGTAGATTGATCATCGTGCAATGTACATTTTGTGGATTTGGTATAATACTAGAGAAAACAATATGATATAAAGGTTGCCATTATACCATGGCTGTAACAATTCATAAATAACCAGCACTCTGGAGAGGAAATTTCAGATGACATATCTGTCTATCAGCTGACTCAGTCATAACCTGATAGTGGTCCTGGACAGACTGACATCCTCTTAACATTTTGCCTTCAGAGGACGAGTTGTTTGTGAAACTGTATGACCCTTGTGGGTTTAGTGCTTAGTTTTGATTGTAATAATGATAAAAATTTTCACAATAATAATAATTGTAAAAATTGTGATGTATGCATACACAGGAGTTATTTTCATTTGAGGGGAGGGTTGATGGAATTTTTTGGAGGCTTTAGTCCCCCATTGGTGCTGCCTCTGACTCTACTGTATGTAAATTATGAAAGTGATAATTAACAAGGCTTTTGTTACCCATAAAAGCATTACTCTAGGAGTTTTAAAGGGGGAGGGACCCTCTGGCTGTTAGTAGTTTTATTGAATCTATACACAAGCTTCACCAGCTTAAGTTTTTTTTTTACATTGTTGCTACTTCCTACTTGCATGTTTGTTTATGCTTGCTATTGCAAGCCTCACCTTCACCACATTATTTCTCATTGAAAGCATCTGGTGACTACTGTACAGTTTGCAGGGGTTCTATGAACACTCAAGCTGCAAACATCTGCATTACAAACAATAGCCATAAAAAGAAATCGTTTTGTGACTATGAATGTGGTGACACACACAGATACCATCCTTTGTACTATTTGTTTTCTATGAGGAAATACTGAAGGCCCCAAATTAACGTTGAAACAGCAGGAATGTAACTCGTTCATTAATTGTAGACCGAGACCCATAGCTCTTGCTAGTTTATTTGCAGTTTTATTTGATGTATGGTTAACAAGTGACTAGTTTGGATACAGCACATGGCTTCAGCTTCTCAGTATCCAAAACAAACTTCTTACACATTCACTTGGCACCTGGTCATTCCCCATTTTATAATCTTCCTGCATGGGTCTCCTCTCGCACTCCATCAAACTAAATTTCTTGACCTCCACTTTGATTGCAGGATGTTGGGGAATTCATGTGACATCTCTGAAAGCTTCATATCTTGACTTGATTATGGGGTTCAGTGTATTCATTTGCTTTGGATATTCTTTCCGAGCTTGAAGTTGTCCATCATCAAAGATTGTGTTGGTACCTTTAGTCTATCTCCATTCAAAAGCCTGCTTATAGTCACATGTTCCTTTATTACAAAACAGTTGAAATTCCTAGTCTACATTATTTTAACTTTTAATCTTCATAATCCTGCAATCTGTAGATTTTTTTTTTTCTATGGTATCTAGCTGCTCTCCTTATTCTGTCCTCCTTTTCTGTTCACTCTGTCCATTTCCTTTCCATCCCATCTTGGGAGGTACTAATATTCCATGTTCCTTACATAAAGTCTCATATATCTCTGCCACAGACATGTGCTCCCTCTTGAATATTTTTACATTGGGTTTGCATGCTGCTGCTGTGTACACTGATGGTTTTAAGCTCTGATGGTGTAGAAAATGGCAGTTCTTTGACAACAGAGTTATATACATAGGACATAGTCTTATTGTGGGTCCCTGGTTATTCTGGTCTTCAGGGCAAGGAACTTTCAGACTCTTCTGCACATTCTGCAGCTCAGAACCTATCAATTTCTTGCAAAGGGACCTGCCCTCTTCAAAGTATTTTCTAGTTTTGTCTCTGAGCATTCATGATTGATGGCAAAAGTATTGGTCAAAGTTAGAATAATAACTGTCTCTGATCAAAACAGATGTGTTCTTTGTCAACTTTTCAGCGCTGTCGGATTTGGGAAATGGTTCTCGCACAACTGCGTATTGGGCCATACACGATTCAGACATAGCATATCACATGGAGAGGTGTCGGCACCTCTCTGAAACTTGAGTCTTATAGTCAAGCAGCTTCTCATTGACTGTTCCATTTATGAAAGAGTATGTACTTAAAATTAAAATTAATTTCCGGCTTCTTTTTCAATGCTTGGGTGCCCTCATTTCATCTGCTCTTCTTTCAGAAAGCTCTACTTTGGATGCAGACAAAATCAATGATTTTTTTTTTTTCGACACTAACTTTGCCAACTTTGACTTTCCTTATTAGCTCATAAGCTCACACCTCACAATTACTTACCCTTTGCACAGTAGCTTCTTATGACCTTGCAGAGCTTTATGATCCACATGACTTTAGTGCATTTTGTGAATAATAATTTAAAGAGTGTACTATAATATTTGAAGGTACTGTAGCTGACACACTTGGGAGAGATTCTCCCTCAGGCCACCTACACAAATGATGGAAGCTCTTGGAGGATTTAAAGGATTATAACAGGAGATGGGATTTCAAAAATAATTTTGAAAATTGTTGAATGTAGTGGAAACTTAAGTAAATACAGTCACAACATAACACAGTGCTAATATAATAATTTGGTATGTTAAACATTAATATCTCTCCAATTTTTAAAAATCTTTGAATAAATATTGGATTACTTAGTTTTTAAAGTATTTGACTGTTAATAGCTTTTTACATGTCTTCCTATAGCAATCATGACATCCAGTAACACCTGATAAAAGAACTGAAGCCTGGAATGAAGAATCTCAAACTAGTGTTCATAGTGTTGGAAATAGGTAAGTTAGTAACGTATGTTGGATTTCACATGATTACCTCTTGCATAAATAATCTGCACATAGAAACTCATGACGATGTTTCAGTCCAACTTGAACCGTTAACCCTTTCAGGGTCCGTCCCATAGATCTACGGCTTTATGTTCAGGGTCCAAACCGTAGATCTACGTCATGAGCTCAGCTCACTCTGATAAACTGTGAGTGGTACACTTGGGCCTAGATATGAGAGAATACATCTATGTGGTATGTGTGCACCACTTAAAACAAATCCTGCAGCACACTGTGTATAATGAGAAAAAAAACTGAAACCACGATTTTTGATTAAAACAGCAACTTTGCAGTGTTTTTTCGTATGTTTTTTATAGTTGTATTTGTGATTTCTTGGTCTCATTTGATAGAATGGAAGACATATTACAGAAATAGAGATGATTTTGATTGGTTTTAGCACTGGAAATGGCTTGAAATTGAGCTCAAAGTAGCGGAAATGTTAATTTTTGCCGATGTTCAAGAGTAAACAAACGACCTCACGCATCTAATACACGCCAGCTGGTTGGTCTAATATACATTCACAAATGTGGTGATGATATTTATACAATTATTACAATATGCATAACAATAAATCTTCTATTTTTTTGGTGTGAATAAAAAACATTATGTGAATAAAAAATCAAAATGGGATTTATTTGTAAAGCCTCAAAACGTAACTAATGAACCGAGGAAATGTTAGTTTAGTGCCAGGAATGCCTACATTGTTTATTCTGGATGCTATTTTGATATTGGAATATTTTGAACTTTGTGTTAAATTGGCCAAATTACCAATTTCCGATCACTTTATTTTGTAGTTGAAACAGTTGACTTGGCGATTTCTTGTGCTCAATCGATAGAATAGAAGTAATACTAGTGAAATAGCTAAGAATTTGGTCAACTGGAATGATGTAATTGGCCTAAAATGGGAGTCAAAGTTGGCAAAATCGCCGATTCGTAAATATCGCTGACACATCAAAATTTGCGAGAGCATAATTTCGTCAATTTTCCATCAAATTTTGTACTTTTTGTTTTATTACCTTCACAAAAAGATTCTCTACCATTTCATAAGAAAAAATAACAAATTTTTTTTTGGAAAATTCTTGGACACTGGGGCACCACTTCAGATTTTGGCCTTGGACCCTGAAGGGGTTAACTAGTCCTATGTGCGGGTTATTTGTGTATCGTTCCAATCACGGTATTGTACCTTTTTATTTTTTATGATTACGTCTCATTTTCCAGGTGCTGAATGACCCCTGTGGGTTTAATGCTTCCCTTTGAATATAATGATGTCAATGATACTGAAATATAGACAGTTGTGCTTTCACATGGAGTTGAGAGAGATTGTTAGTTGAGGTTAACACTGGCAAGATATAGAAGCAAAGTATGAGCAGATGGTTATTTTCCTTCCTTGAAATAAAAATTTTTGACACTAGCAATTTTCTTGGATCATGTGAGACTGCATCAAGTTTCCAACTTCCCAACTGTTATGCAAAGTATATACTTAGTATGGAGTTAAAGACGTAAGTATGATGTGGACTTCTGACAAATATGTGGCAAGGCAGTGTTTTTCTATTACCAAGAAACAAACTGTGATAAGCAATAAATGTTCAAGGAAAGAAAACCTAGGTGTATGAACAGTCTGCTTAATTATGTGCTCGTAGATGTTCTAAGTGGGCAGGCCTCTTAGGCTGTTTTTCAGACCCAATTGCCCATCATTACCCAGACACTGAATGACCTCTGAGTTCAGTGCTTTCCCCTACATATAATAATAATACTTCCACGTCTGAATTTGCATACCTCTGATCAAATGTTTACTTCATCCACTGTTAACCCTTTCAGGGTCCATTGCCCAAATCTGGAGTCACGCACCAGTGTCCAAGAATTTTCAAAAAAAAAATTTGTTATTTTTTCTTATGAAATCGTAGAGAATCTTTTTGTGAAGGTAATAAAACAAAAAGTACGAAATTTGGTGGAAAATTGACGAAATTATGCTCTCGCGAATTTTGATGTGTCAGCGATATTTACGAATCGGCGATTTTGCCGACTTTGACTCCCATTTTAGGCCAATTACATTATTCCAATCAACCAAATTCTTAGCTATTTCACTACTATTACTTCTATTCTATCGATTGAGCACAAGAAATCGCCAAGTCAACTGTTTCAACTACAAAATAAAGTGATCGGAAATTGTTAATTTGGCCAATTTAACACAAAGTTCAAAATATTCCAATTTCAAAATAGGGTCCAGAATGAACAATGTAGGCATTCCTGGCACTAAACTAACATTTCCTCTGTTCATTAGTTATGTTTTGAGGCTTTACAAATAAATTCCATTTTGATTTTTTATTCACATAATGAATTTTTATTCACACCAAAAATAGAAGATTTACTGTTATGCAATACTGTAATAATTGTATAAATATCATCACCATATTTGTGAATGTATATTAGACCCACCAGCTGGTGTGTATTAGACGTGTGAGGTCGTTTGTTTACTCTTGAATATCGGCAAAAATTTAACATTTCTGCTACTTTGAGCTCAGTTTCAAGCCATTTCCAGTGCTAAAACCAATCAAAATCATCTCTATTTCTGTAATATGTCTTCCATTCTATCAAATGAGATCAAGAAATCGCAAATACAACTATAAAAAACATACGAAAAAACACTGCAAAGTTGCTGTTTTAATCGAAAAATCATGATTTCATTTTTTTTCTCTCATTATACACAGTGTGCTGCAGGATCTGTTTTATGTGGTGCACACATACCACATAGATGTATTCTCTCATATCTAGGCCCAAATGTACCACTCACAGTTTATCAGAGTGAGCTGAGCTCATGGCGTAGATCTACGGTTTGGACCCTGAACGTAAAGCCGTAGATCTACGGGACGGACCCTGAAAGGGTTAAACAGATACAAATACCCAGTTACCCCCATAATAATCCTAGGTAGTAGCTTGGTAGACAGCTACTGCCCAGGGAGGTACTACCATCCTGCCAAGTGAGTGTAAAACAAATGCCTGTAATTGTTTTACACGATGGTAGGATTGCTGGTGTCTTTTTTTTGTCTCTTATACATGCAAGATTTCAGGTACATCTTGCTACTTCTACTTACACTTAGGTCACACTACACATTCATGTACAAGCATATATATATACACACCCCTCTGGGTTTTCTTCTATTTTCTTACTAGTTCTTGTTCTTGTTTATTTCCTCTTATCTCCATAGGGAAGTGGAACAGAATTCTTCCTCCATAAACCATGCGTGTCATGAAAGGCGACTAAAATGCCGGGAGCAAGGGGCTAGTAACCCCTTCTCCTGTATACATTATTAATGTTAAAAAGAGAAACTTTTGTTTTCCTTTTTGGGCCACACTGCTTCAGTGAGATATGGCTGGTTTGTTGAAAGAATAATAATAATGGTTTTATGTCTTACAAACTTCCAAGTTAGTTGATGGTTTCCATGACAAAATTGATTGGTTTAAATTTATCTCATTGCTTTTTAGTTTCTTGATGCTTTGTTTGTGGTTGTAGTTTTAAGGAAATAAATTTTTAATTATTCTGCAGGTCGACCGAATTTGACAAAGGAAAGCCATGAAGTAAGATCGGTGAAAGTAGCCGACCGCAGCGGGTGCATCAACATATCACTGTGGGGAGAGCCAGGGCAGCTGCTACAGGTGAGATTTAGGCATTGAATTATGACTCACCAAATTGTAATAACACAATTGTGGGGTTTCAGCCCGTGGCAACTGAGTACTAAAACTCGCAGGCCAGTGTGTTTACCACTATGGTGTATGTGTATTTCTGTACACCATAGGGTAGTTATCATGGGCCCCACTGTGACTGCAATTGCAGGTTTTTACAGATGAATCATGTCATGCATCTTAATTTGTAAAGAAGGGCACTACCCCAGCCCTCTTGTTTAGATGGTTCAATGGTACCTACTACAGTACTGTATTGCATTAACAATGTTGACCTTAATGTCACAACAAAAAGTATCTATTTGATTTACACATTTAGTTGTAAACTGTTCGAGATGGATTTTTTATAAAAAAAAAAAAATGCAGTAAATACTGTAATGAGAAACACAATTTTGTCAGAATTATTAATCCAGAATAATGTTGGATAATGATACAAAAAAAATTTGTTAGGCCATGAAAAATTGTCTGTTGTCTATATTCTGTTTTTAACATCAGCCTCAGATAATAGTGTTAACACTTTGCGTTATTGTTTTCAGCCGGGAGATATTGTTAATCTGACTAAAGGCTACGTGAGTGTATTCAAGAATTGCTTAACGCTCTACGTTGGGAAAGGTGGAGACTTACAGAAAGTGAATGAGTAAGTATGTCACTAAGACTGCTAGTTCTGCTGCTTGTACTATTACCATACTTGTCATAGTACTGCTATTACAGGTATCATAGTAGTACTATGCTTGTAATAGCAGTATAGTACAGGATTTGTAATAGTAATACTGCTGTACTTTTAATAGTAGTACTACTGTAATAGTACTACTACTATTAATAGTACTATCTGCTGTTAATAGCACCCTGCTACTTTTAATTGTAGCACTACTACTAATAGTGTACTTGTAATAACAGTACTGCTACCTGTAATAGTATCATATCACTGTTACTGTATTAGCGGTACTACTATTGCTATTACATTCTGCTGCAGTACTAATGATACAGTACACTGCCAAATATCCATAATGGGAGGGACCTGCAAGCCTTTTTATATAAATTTGTTTTTTCTTTATTTTGTATTGGATAGGTATTGAATATCAATACGTGCTGTTGGAGTGTGAGCAAAGTAACATTTATGAAGGGATTCAGGGAAACTGGCAGGCCGGACTTGAGTCCTGGAGATGGGAAGTACAGTGCCTGCACTCTGAAGGAGGGGTGTTAATGTTGCAGTTCAAAAACTGTAGTGTAAAGCACCCTTCTGGCAAGACAGTGATGGAGTGAATGATGGTGAAAGTTTTTCTTTTTCGGGCCACCCTGCCTTGGTGGGAATCGGCCAGTGTGATAATAAAAAAAAAATAAAAAAATATGAATTTACACATATGCAGACTTAGAAATTAACCTTTATTTTATATTTGGTTATTCTTTATTTTTATTGTTTTAGTAGGTTGCCTTATTTCCCAGTCGTGTATAGGTCCTTCTGATGGTGTTGAGTAAGTTCGTTAGTTGCCATCCAGGTGTGGATGCATTTTTAAGTCTATTTACTGTTATTTAAGGTAGTAGGCATGTTGTTTGAGAGGATAAAATAAGAATTGTTAACAAGAGAATTAGTTTGACTTGTTGGGTATTATATGTTAGGCTATTTATACATAAATAGGAGAGGACTTAAAATTCTGCCTTGGGAACATCAGTGCTTGTTGGTCGAGTAGATGCTATGCCCTTTATGGTTTCATGTTGGTAAGATAAGGTTTGTTTGGATTTTTAATCCAGAGGGTTAGCCACCCAGAATAACCCAAGAAAACCAGTGTGTCATCAAGGACTGTCTGTCTTATTTCCATTAGGGTCCTTCAATTTTGTCCCTCAGGATGCAACCCCCTCCAGGTGACTAACTCCCAGGTACCTACGAACTGCTAGGTGAACAAGGACAGCAGGTATAAGGAAACATGCCCAATGTTTCCACCCATGCCAGGGATTGAACCAAGGACACTCAGTGTGTGAGGCGAGAGCAGTGCCAACTGAGCCACAGGTGGCTGTGACTGGAGTAATATTAGAAACATGTGCTTTGGTTTGTGTAGAAGGTTAATGTCATTAGTATTGTCAAAATTTGATGCAGATCAGTAATAATCCAATTGATATTTGGTGCTGTGTAGATTACCTAGGATTTTTATTATGGCATCTTAGGTTTGTGGATTATTTTTTTCCAGTATATTGTATAGTAGTAGGTAGTAGGTTGGTAGACAGCAACCACCCAGGGAGGTACTACCGTCCTGCCAAGTGAGTGTAAAACGAAAGCCTGTAATTGTTTTACATGATGGTAGCATTGCTGGTGTCCTTTTTTCTGTCTCATGAACATGCAAGATTTCAGGTATGTCTTGCTACTTCTACTTACACTTAGCTCACACTACACACATGTACAAGCACATATATACACACCCCTCTGGGTTTTCTTCTATTTTCTTTCTAGTTCTTATTCTTGTTTATTTCCTCTTGTCTCCATGGGGAAGTGGAACAGAATTCTTCCTCCGTAAGCCATGTGTGTCGTAAGAGGCGACTAAAATGCCGGGAGCAAGGGGCTAGTAACCTCTTCTCCTGTATATATTACTGAATGTATAAGGAGAAACTTTCGTTTTTTCTTTTGGGCCACCCTGCTTCGGTAGGATACAGCTGGTGTGTTGAAAGAAAGATATTGTACAGTATTGTTGTTTTGGTAGGTTTGATGTTGGTCTACATGTATATTTGTTTGTCAGCAACTGTACACTTGCATGAAGAGATCCATTATTATTGTTGACAACAAATAACCATATATTTATGCAATACTATTTTTATTTTTTTTTATTTGGACAGGTTTTGCATGCAGTTTTCTGAGCAGCCAAATATGTCTGAACCCAATTCAGAGCTTATAGCTCCTAATAAATCAATAGGCAGCAGTGGCGGTGGAGGCAGCGACTCTGGAAGTGGTAACACACGAGGTCCAGGGTCCCAGGGCGGCTCTGGGAATTCTAGTGGGACACCTTTGGCAGAATCGATGAGGGATCCTAGATTGCAGAAACCCAATACAAATGGTGGAAACCTGGATCCTCGGGGAAATAAGGGGGGAGGTGGTGGTGGTAATAGTGTAACAGCTTCCAATGGACACCACAGTACTGGTGGAAGACATGTAGGAGGTAATTCAAATAGCTCTACGAATTCCAGTAAAAACCGTAATCATGCACCAACAAATAGACAAACTTCGAAAAGGTAATATCTGTACACATTGTAGTGATAGATTTAAATTTCTGTTGATATGAAAGGAGTTGAAAGTCCTTTTGTATGTTTTCCCTCAGCCTAATATTCTGTATTAAGTGCTGCCCTTTATCTAGCTTTTGGTGATTAAAACTTGTGAAAACTTTTGGTTAGGAAAATATTTATGGAATGGATGTATTCTTTTCATATTTTTTGTTTTATTAACGACTTGAGAAGATTAGTTTTCTGTCAGTCCAGTTATGTGTTAGGTATAAATGTTTATGAAAGAAAGTTTGATATACAGTATAAAGCTCTCAAAAATATTATATTGGAAACTCTTCCAGCATTATACTAAAGGGGTAAATTACGGTAAACACAAAATGGCCTTAAAAATGTTGTTAATTTTGGTGTATCTAAATCTTCGGTTCTTTTCGTATTAACAAATGGTAGCCATTACTATATTTGGAAGGATGGGTATCCCTTAAAATTTTCACTTATGATTATGCATTTGAACATGCCAAATATCAATGATATGCTCTTAGAGCAATAACTAATAAAACCTTGGTCCTGCAAATCATGATTATATTTCTATGAAAGAATAGTGATTAATGACAACCATATCTGAAGTTACAGTAGCAGTGATTTTAAACATGGACACTGAAACCTGCAATTGGGGATCATTCATTACAGCTAAATATGGGTCAGTCACTTCCTGAATTTTGATCTAACTTGCCAGTGCAGTATGTGTTCTAACATTAATGGCACTGACATTGACCAAAGGTATAAGTAGTGTAAAATTTGGCATTCAGATGTTTGAGGTAGTGGAAAAATTCAACTTGATTAAACACCTGATGATTACTAGCAAATGATACTTCAGGTGAATATATTTTACTGTATAACAGTTATATATGAAATGTGCCCAAATATTCTCTAGTTATAACTAAAAAATAAGTGGGTGAATTTTTATTATTCATATAATTCTGGGTGTACAAAGCCCAGTAATTTTTAAAATGTTAATATGTACATTTTTATTGAAATAAATTTTTTTTTTATACTAGGCCTTTTCTAATGTTTTAACAGCATAGCTTTGCCTAGTATGATTATGCAGTTTTTTAAATTTGTCCCTTACAATTATTATTATCAAAACTAAGTGCTAAACCCACAAGGGTCATACAGCACTGTGTTCCTTAAAAAAAAAAAGGAGGGGGGGGATACAGTACATTTTGGCACCATGCAGCAATTTTTGTATCCATGGTTTTTATGTCCTCTTATTTAACCCTTTGGGTTTTCGTTATGTACTTTCTTACGGTGGGGTTTTTGACGACTAGACTCAAAAATTCTAGCGCCCCTAAAATCTGGGGGAGAAAGCGGGTGGGCCCTTCATATGAAAGAATGGGTCTATGTGGTCGGTGCACAGCTAAAAAAATTTCTGCAGCACACTGCAAAATGAAAAAAAAAAACTTTTCCTTTTTTTAATAAATAGCGACTTTGACAGTGTATTTCGTATAGTATTATTGTTGTTTCTGTTTTCTTGGTCTCATTTTTAAATGGAACATTTACTGAAATGAGATGATTTTGACTGTTTTACAAGAAGGGCCTTGAAATGAGCTCAAGTAGCGAATTTTCGATTTTTCCCCAACTCAAAGAAACCATCGTCCAAGCGTGCAATACACGTCCTGGTGAGTCTAACATTCTTTCACAGTGCACCAAAATTCATACACATTTTTACAAATGCATATCTGCATAACAGGTAATTTTAATTTTACTGTAATAAACAGTTTCATATGGAAATGTGCCAAATATTCATCTAGTTATAACTAAAAAATAAGTGGCGTGCAGGAATTTTTTATTATTATATAATTCTGGGTGTACAAAGGCCAGTAATTTTTAAAATGTTAATAATTGTACATTTTTATATGAAAAAATTTGCTTTATGACTAGGCTTTTTCTAATGTTTTTTGACAGCATAGTTTGCTAGATGATTATGCAGTTTTTTTATTTGTCCTTACATATATATTATCAAAAACTAAGTGCTAAACCCACAAGGGAGTAACAGCACTGTAGTTCCTTACAAAAAAATTGGGGGGATACAGAACATCTTGGCACCATAGCAGAATATTTTTATTCACCTGGAGTTAATGTACCTCTTATTTAATCTGAGGATCATCTTCCGAGGTGAAATAGAAAGTGATATACTGATCATTCATTTCAGATTTGTGGAATGCAATGCAGTTTATTAATGTAAATTTCATTTATTTGGAATCTGTTCAAAATTCTTATCCATGGAAGATTATTATTATTATTATAATCAAGGGGGAAGCGCTAAACCCGGAGGATTATACAGCGCCTGGGGGGGATGTGGAAGGCATTCAGGCTTAATTCGGGGAACTGGAGCACAGATCCAATTCCCTAAATCAAGAGCCCCTCACCAACATCAAGGAACCTTCCTTGAGGGGTATCCATGGAAGTGCTGCCAGATATGGCAGAGATTGGGAATAGTTTTTGAACATCTATGTAGTGAATTATTGCATTTATTAGATGCAACATTAAATAATAAACTACAGTCTGCCCCAAAATTCACAGGTAATTGTGTTCTTGGAAGTTCACTGTTCCTGAATATTGATCTAATTAGTTTTTGTAAGACTAATCTTTTTCTCCTTATTCAGTGTGTGGGTAATCAAATTAATATTTTGAACAAAATCCTGTTTAGTGTCGAGGTTGCACACCAAGCCAAAATAAAAACAGGTACTGAAAACTCCATGCAAATCACTCAGATTTATTTGTACTGTAAGTACAGTACCCTGTGGTGAAAATATTCAGATAATCAATTCTGCAGGTTAGAAAGCCTGCAAATTTTCAAACTGATTGAATTGAAATATGATGTATTTAGTGCCCCTCCTCCCCCATACACGAAGGGGTCATAGAGTTTGAGGAAATGGGAGGCGATTAGGTTCAGTCCACGGAAGGGAAGATTATTATAATCATGGGGGAGGGCTACACCAGTGGGATTATGCAGCACATGTGGGGGGATGGAAGGTATTCAGGCTCAATTCAGGGAACCAGAGCAAGGATTATTATACTAATCAAGGGGGAAGCGCTAAACCCATAGGATTATACATTGCCTGTGGGGGGATGTAGAAGGTATTTAGGCCTAATTCAGAAAACTGGAGCACAGATCCAATTCTCTAGATCAAGAGTCCCTCACCAGTCAAGGAACCTTCCTTGAGAGGACCATTGTACAAAATATAATGCAGGAAGGCCCCTGGATTTTCAGCTCCCTCTTCTGCATCCCACTATTTTAGTTTTTAATCAAGCCATTGTTCATCATGGTTGGTGTTTTTTCCGCCGGTTTTGATTGGTGCCATATTTTTTTTATGCCTAGTTGTATTGAGCACATATATATGATATTGTGAACACAGTACCGGGCATTTTAAACTTTCGATATTGAATTATTAAAATCAAAACAAAGCGCTAAACCTACCAGGGTCACACAATGCTGTGTATTTAATATTGAAAAAAGCTCTTCCACTCATCGGCAGTTTTCACTTATCCACGTGCCAGTTCCAAGGTAGAGGGGTCCCTTGTGGCAAAGGGACTATCTGATGGATTAGACCAGATCTGAATACCCAAAACCCTTTTTCATTTTGGTCTTATTATTAGGGATATTTGCACTTCTGTTCTAGCATAGTTTGTTAGTAGTAGTCACTCCACCCATTGGAAGCTGGATCTTAAGGTATATTGGGTGATCTGGAGGTTACCGGGGATTACAGGAGTCTATGAGAAGTTGATTCCTGGCATACCAGTTCATCTTTGTTAGCTAAACATTTACCCTACCTTTACACATTACACCAATGCTATTTGACCCACAGGGTTTAGTGAACAATACGATTCCTAGTTTATATTTAGGGCTAAGAGCGTAACCCATAGGGGTCATACAGCTCGTATAATAGACGATTATGTTCACAATATATCAAAGGTGCAACTTTCAGCTAGTCAATGTTTGGAAGTAAATTCCGAGTGCCCACTGATAGCCAGGACACCCTATTAGGATATGGTGGACCAAGTGTGACCTGATAATCCTTGCAGAACACCTGGCAGAGTGGCTTAACCTTTCATACTAGGTAAGTTTTAATCGAGGGGTAAGTACAATGTAGTATAGTCAAAGCCACTGGATGACCACCTTTATTCAGCCTTGTACAGGGTAAAGGCCCTTACATTTTGCAAGAGGTTTTGGATCTGATGAACTCTAGTGGGTTGACAAGCCTAGCTCTAGAGGAAGGGGGGGGGAGATTTCAAAGCTGGTCACAGGTCCTCTGTCAGTTTTCTCGGATCTAATTCTGATATTCTTATGCTGGATAATTTGTCGAGTTATATTGCTTTAACGTCTGCCATCCATTTTTCCTGTGATGCACATTCACCAAGACAGGTGACTTAGTCCAGTCCAACTTTGTTTAATGTTTGAAGATTTTTAAATACGGATTATAGAATTACTGTACTAAACCTTTACAGGTCATTCAGTACGCCAGTTTAAAAGAAAGACGTTGCTGATTCATGCAAATTATATTCTGTGCTAAACCTATACAAAGAAGGCTCTGAACTAAATAAAGTCATTCAGTCCTACAGAGTTCATTGCATTCTTTGGGAATTGCTAATTCATAGACATAATACTTTGGGAAGAGAAGGCACTCTGGTTCATCAAAGGAGAGAGAGGGTAGCTGCAGTACAACCATGGTGTTATTCTATTGCTTTGACCATGCCATTTTTAACTATTAAATTTATACTATCATTACCAGTACATATATAAATTACAAAGCAAATAAAACTTAGGTCTCATATCGCAGTGTCCATTCTAGGCTCTATTGTCAGTCAAATATAACAATCAAATTTACACTAACTACCATGACCTGTACATGCTAAGTGCATGAATGAATCACAGCCAGTAAAACTGTCCAAAGCCTTCTACCCCCCCCCCCACATGCTGTGTCAAATTCATTGCCAGCCATCAACCGAGTCAGCAAAATTAGACACGTTTCATGTGGCCCAGGATGCATCAAAACATTTCAAACTTCAAATGTCAACTACCAGCACTGTTATTTTGACCATTATTATTATAATCAAAAAGAAGCGCTAAGCCACAAGGACTATACAGCGCTGCAGGGCAGGAAGGAAAGCGAGGGCATCAGGTGGCAAAAGGGAGATGGATGAGTAATAGGTTACGGATAACAGCGGGGCAGTGGATGGTGAAAGGGTAAAGGGCAGCAAGAGACTGAACTAGAAAGGGCTGAGGGGAGTGCGAAAAGTATCATCAGAGTTTGTGGAGTAAATCAGTCGTTGTCAAGAAGTCAATGAGAGTCAGGATTAAAGGAGGGTCCATCAGAAAGAAGGGAAGGTAAAGAGAGAGTAGTAGAACGAAGACGACGACGGAGGTAAATTCTGCGTGCTCGTTGATAGAGAGGGCAGTCTAACAGGATGTGGCTAATCGATACTGGAACTTGACACTGCTCACAGAGAGGAACAGGGTGCCTCTCCATGAGATACCCATGAGTAAGACGAGTGTGACCAATGCGAAGGCGGGAGAGAGTGGTCCCCCAACCTCGGCACTGATGACAAAACGGCCAGTAACCTATGCTCGGTTTAATAGAATGAAGTTTGTTACCGAGCAGAGTCGACCAACGTTGTTGCCAACGGGTGCGAAGGTGGGTAGCTATTGCAGCAAAATAGTCCAGAAATGGAACACCTCGATAGGAAATTGGTAGGTCATGTACTGCTGACCGCGCAGCAGTGTCTGCCTGTTCATTGCCCTGTACGTCGACATGACCAGGGACCCAACAAAAAACAATATCTTTATGTTTGGTAGAGATACGGCGTAGCCAAAGTTGGATACGGAGAACTAGGGGATGAGATGTATCAAATTTTCGTATAGCCTGTAGAGCACTAAGGGAGTCAGACTACTACAAATGATGACACAGGCATAGATGCGATACGAATAAGTGCTGCAAGAATGGCATACAGTTCAGCAGTAAAAATGCTAGCTGAAGATAGTAAATGTCCCCGCACGACGCTGTCTGGAAACACTGCTGCGAATCCGACGCCGTCTGAAGACTTAGAGCTATCTGTGTACACAGCGGTGGCATGAGAATGGGAGTGGAAGTGATCAAGAAAAAGAGCGGGAAGCCACCGTAGGCAGTTGAGCTTTCGAGCAAGGGAGTGAGAAAGAACAGACCCGAACAGCTGGAACTTCCCAGGGGGGTAGGGAAAAGTGAGATGCTACATGAACATATAAAGGTGGTAACTGAAGGGAAGACAAGAGTGAATGTAGGCGAAGAGAAAAGGGATGGAGCAAACGGGCGGCGAACGAATAAAGAATGTCTACTAATATCGGTGACCATTCTATAAATGGAAGGATTGTGTAGATCGTGAGAGCGTACATAGTAGCGAAGGCAATGGGCATCACGACGATCAGACAAGGATGGAACATTCGCTTCTGTATAGAGGCTCTCAACAGGGGAAGAGCGAAAAGCACCAAGGCAAACGTAATCCTTGGTGATGGATAGAGTTAAGGCTAGAGAGAGTAGCAGGAGAGGCCGTGGAATAAATCTGGTCACCATAATCGAGTTTCGATAAAACGAGGGCTGAATGTAGGCGAAGCAGAGTTCGACGATCAGCTCCCCAGGAAAGATGAGCAAGGGTTTTAAGAAGGTTTAGCCGGCTCTGACAAGTTGCCTTCAGAGAGGTTATGCGAGGTTTCCAGGATAACCGACGGTCAAAGAGAAGGCCTAGAAACCTGACTATCACGTTCGGGGATACGGGAGCCATAGAGATACAAAGGTTGATCGGAGATAACAGAGCGTCTAGTGAAAGTAATTTGGCGAGTTTTGGTACTTGAAAATTTAAACCCATGCGTGGTGGCCCAAGTGGAAACACGGTCGACCGCATGCTGGAGAGAAACTGCAATAAGATGACAGTCAGTGCCTGCACAAGCAATAGCAAAGTCATCAACATAGAGTGATGATCAGCAAAAGTAAGTTTCAAGAGATTGGATCAAAGAATGAATTAAGATTGGGATAAAAACTAAGGCCAGAAGCATGCTGCAAGGAATAAGTTGTCTTGCTAGAACTTGCATTTCAAGGTCTTTTGACCTACTCTGCAATACTTTTTTGCCATAGCAATAATTTCTGTTTGCTTTATTTTCAAAGAACATTAAATTTTATTAATCACCGTTAGTGAGTTATTAAATTATTGCAAGGCATCTACAGTGGATGGCATCAAGTCACACTTTTTTGCACCTCTTGTAAATGCAGGTTAGAAAAACTCGGGAGATTCGGTAAATATTTACACTGGAATGACTTCAACTCTATTCAGTTCTTTAGTTGTTCAAGATATACATTTGCACAGCACAACATTTTTTAAATTTAGGTATAAATAAAATACTGTATTAAAATAAAGAGTTGAGGGATAAATTTACCTTGCATTAAAATGCTTTTTCTTTAAAAACAGTATTTCTAAACTGGCTATTCTGTCCATATGCAGCATTTGTTCATTACAATGGAATTTCCCCACTTAACTCGGTTCACAATGATTTTAAATGTAGATAGACGAACTCAAAAAACTACAGCAATTCTATATGGACTTTCAGAATAATGTTGCTACCATTTCACAACAGCATTCAAAGATACACCATTGCTTTATTTGTACTGCTCACTGACAGGTTACTTTAGGAAAACACAACTTGGAGTGTCAGCTACCAGGAAAAAAGGATCTTAGTGCAAAACTGGTACTAAGTAACCATTAAAAATTTCTCGGTACCAATTGTGCAATTTTTTTTTTTAATCAAAATTTGTACATGGCATAACTACAGCTAGAAAAGTTCAGTAGCTACCAGATGATTCCAATATCCATAAATATTTTACAAAGCCCCAAGAAAAAAAATATCACAGTTCGACGAACATCAAGTCATCCCATTCAGCCAACAAAAGGGGAAATACTGTAACTGCAGCCACTATCATTGCTTAAGTGACCGCAGCGCTACAATTTTACTTTTTTAACACTATGAAATTGATTTTGAAAAACTGATATTTATTCAACTATTATGCTTAGACATATATTCAGAATTTTAAAATGCCATCCAGCAAGGTTATGTTCAGACTCCAAGTGGCATTCATGTTTGTGTTGGCCTAGTGATGCTGATTTTATTAAACTCCTGTTTATGAAATTAAGGGCTTTAGGCAGACATTTTCTTTGCTAGATCTTCACGGATAGCTTCAAGGAAGTCGTTTGTGTACAAGTACATCCCATCCTTTACATTCTTTATGCCATGAATGCAGCCAACAAGATCCTTCGTCATGTGACCAGCATCAACTGTGTCTACACAAGCCTTCTCCAGTGACTGTGCAAACCTGAAACAATTCTTTGTGTTAGATGACTAGAAATATCAGTGATGGCACAGCCAACCACAAGTTTCTTGGAACTAAAATTTACACATTGAAATTGGTACAGAATGACATTCAAGTTTGATGACTAAGACATATGTGCAACAGTTCAGAATCTCTAGTCAAATACAAATGCAGAGGAAGCTGAACTAATCCAGGTTGAGGGACTGACCACCTCATACTATTTTTCCAAGGTTGATGGACTGATCACATCTTTGTTTTGCTACTACACCTGGTGCCTCTGTATTTGACTGAATAAGCCTACTGTGTAGGCGAGACGCTTCAGCTTATAATAAGGATACCCAACTGTTGCATATACGTCAATCATCAACTTGTTAGTATTGTATACCATTTTCAAGAATCCCATTTTAACAGTTTGTAGGGATGTTTGCGTGAAAGTCCTGTATAAGTCGAGTGTTAGCAGAGGTTATGAAATTAAGGTTTACAATGAGAACACTAATGGTCCAAAATACCAAAATGTCTAATTTTCATTTCCATTTCGAATAACGTATACGTACTTTTAAATTTTTACAGCCTCGGTATTTCTTATTCTTCGTGTAGTCCCTCATTACCCTGTCAAATTATTTTGTCAAACATGTTATATGGTGGGCTGTATGCCTATACTGTGTTTTCATTTTTGTAGCTTCTAGCATTTTATCCAAGAGTACTGCCAACAATAATCACCCTCTCCTAATCAGTCTCTTCACATTGAGTAGTTTCTTTCAAAAAACTACATTAAGCATGTTTTGTATGTATTTGCTTCTCTTCTGTTAGTTTCCCTGGTAAATTCTCTGAAGGCCTTGTAATGGTCTCATTTCTTTTCTATTAGCTACTCTTCCTTATGCTTGACCTGTGATAATCCTAGTCACACACAACATCTCATTTTGAGATTCACCTATGGTATACCCTGCCACAAGCTCTGGAAATTTAAGCATTTTAATCTATTTGTATTTAAGCAGTCTAATCTGCTGTACTTTCTCTACTTTTCTGTATTCGTACTTTCTTTCCCAGCACAACTGAAAACTACCACAATTTTGTCTAGTTTTCTTTACTAGATCATAATTATTTAGTTTTACTTATCAATGTTAACTACAGTAGTAGTAGTACTATTAATACAAAATAATGAATAATAATATATTTACTAGCACTAAGGCTTTACATTTTGAGTGGGAACTGTGTATTTTGGAATTATTAGACCAACTGCAGCTCTGACAACTCCATTCATCGAAGGTAAAGAATTTACATTTGCATACTAAACACATGCTATTATATGCAAGAATGTTTCTAACATGCAGCTCAATTCAGTCAACACTTTAAACCTACATGCTTGTAGGTTTAACAAATCATTAAATTTCTTAAACATTAACGGAATATATATATTAATGTAAAATTAAACAATTTATTGCAATGACTATATCTATTAGTTCAAGGAATTGCTTCCCTTTCAGAGCTTTCTCGGACCAAGCCTCAAATTGGAAAGGAAATATTACAGGATTAGTAAGTGTGTCAAGGAACACAGGAAAGTATAACCGTATAGTGAATGCAAGAAGCTTAAGATATACCTACCATCTTACACATTCACAGGATTAAAGGACTACCAGCCCTGCAAGAATGCACATTACTTAATAGTCTCATTCTGAACTAATGCCAAAAGCCAACCTTTAAATATCATTATCATGGCAGGACATTACCTGGCCAGCTCGGAATTTCCATCTAACTTGGCACGATGTTCAAGACCCCTGGTCCAAGCGAAGATGGAGGCAATAGGGTTTGTCGAAGTGTTGTTGCCCTTTTGGTGCTCTCTGTAATGTCTCGTCACTGTCCCATGGGCAGCCTCAGATTCTATTGTCTTGCCATCTGGACACATCAGAACTGATGTCATAAGACCAAGTGAACCTGTCGGATAAAGTTCAAAAAGTTTTAACTACTGTATTTTAATACAGTACATATATTCACTGTATAATATTTTTTAAGTTTTCAGCTATACTAAATTACCAAATAGCAGCTTAACTATAACTGTTTATTTATGACATACTACAAACTAGAACCTAATATTCACTCACCATAACCTTGAGCAACAACATCTGACTGGACATCACCGTCATAATTTTTGCAAGCCCATACAAAACCACCAGAAGACTTCAGAGCCTGAGCTACCATATCATCAATGAGGCGATGCTCATACCAAATGCCCTTTGCATCAAATTGTTTCTGAAAGGTCCAGGAAGAGGGATTATTTTTCTTCCACATTTGCATGGCAAAACTGTACAGGTGCTCCTCAACTTATGATGGAGTTAAGTTCTGACAAACCCACTGTGTTTGTAAAAGTCAATTAAAATGCTAAGAGTAATAGGTTAGTAAACCCTTCTCCCATATAGCTTACTAAAAATAAAAAGGATGTTTGAATGTGCATGTACATATTGCAGATAAGAAAGATGATTGTGGATGTTATGAGCGAAAAGATGGATGTCCTGGTTCTAGGTGAAACAAAGTTAAAGAGGGAAAAAATACTGTATTTTACGGCATTGAAGACCACTTTGTGAAGCATGGGTTGCAAATGTTGCAGCGAGGAGGAGGCTGGAGGCAGTGAAAATGTCGTGTCTAAGGACAACATGTGGTGTACATATGCAGAGATTTTTTTTTTTTCCAACAAGTCGGCCGTCTCCCACCGAGGCAGGGAAGAAAATATTTTCATCATTCAACACTTTCACCTCACTCACACAATCACTGTTTTTGCAGAGGTGCCCAGAATAGGGGCAGGACTTGGACTTGGGGGCTTGGACTTCCAGCAGGCATGCGTGAGCGTGTTTGATAGGAGTGAATGGAGACAAATGGTTTTTAATACTTGACGTGCTGTTGGAGTGTGAGCAAAGTAACATTTATGAAGGGGTTCAGGGAAACCGGCAGGCCGGACTCGAGTCCTGGAGATGGGAAGTACAGTGCCTGCACTCTGAAGGAGGGGTGTTAATGTTGCAGTTTAAAAACTGTAGTGTAAAGCACCCTTCTGGCAAGACAGTGATGGAGTGAATGATGGTGAAAGTTTTTCTTTTTCGGGCCACCCTGCCTTGGTGGGAATCGGCCAGTGTGATAATAAATAAAAAAAAATGTATATACGTATAAAAATACACAATATATCCCTCCAAACTGCCAATATCCCAAACCCCTCCTTTAGAGTGCAGGCATTGTACTTCCCATTTCCAGGACTCAAGTCTGGTTATGAAAAAATAACCGGTTTCCATGAATCCCTTCACTAAATAATATTAATGCTGCTCACACTCCAACAGCTCGTCAGGTCCCAAATACCATTTGTCTCCATTCACTCCTATCTAACACGCTCACGCACGCTTGCTGGAAGTCCAAACCCCTCGCCCACAACACCTCCTTTACCCCCTCCCTCCAACCTTTTCGAGGATGACCCCTACCCCCGCAGTGTAGAAATTAGGAGGTGTGGCGTTACTAAAAGTATTATTTAGAGGGCCGAGGAGAGGTTGTCAAGGTGATTTGGTTATTACAGAAGATGGAACAAAATAGGATGACTTGGAGGGTGTATTACTCTGTAGTAAGAGGAGGAGGGGTAGAGGTCATTATAGGAAAGGCTGGAGGGAGGGGGTAAAAGGTTTTGTGTGCAAGGGGCTTTGACATACAGGAGGCATGAGTGAGCACATTAAATACAAGTGGAGACGAATGATTTTTGTAACTTAACAAGCTGTTGGAGTGTCAGCAGGGCAACATTTTGTGAAGGGACTCAGGAAAACCGGTTAGCTGGATTCGAGTCCTGTAGGTGGGAAAGTGCAATGCCTACACTTTAAATGAGGGGGTTTGGGGTATCTGTTGTTAGGAGCAACATTTTAACTGTCGTATTTGCACGTCTCTGCAAAGACAGTGGTGTGCGTGAATGGAGATTTTTTTTTTTGTCACCCTATCTCAATGGGAGACAGCCAGCATGTTGTAAAAAAACAAATCTTAAGTCAAAAATATCACAAATTGAATATGAATATGATATGCTAAATAAATAACTACCGTCAATGAATATAAAAATGAATAATTACTTGAATACAAGTTACAGACTTGCTGCCTTCATGTGGGGGTAATTATCTCAACTTTCATCTCCAAAGTAACTGCTTTTGCACTATCAAAAAGTCAAAATATCACAAGTCTGACCATCATAAGTCAAGGAGCACCTGTACATAGTTTTAAGAGACTATTCTTCACTATAGAATGAAAAGTGCATTCTCAGCATACAAATACACTAAGCTGCTTCAGCTTGGAATTTACAAGGCAAAAAGGTAATAAACTAAGCTTGTGAAACTTAGTTTCAGTCCACATCAAAATGGCTTAGAATTAAATATTTACCTTGTACTCTGCTTGATAAATTTCCTCAAAAATATCTTTGAATCGCCCATCATACCTCTTGAGGATAGTATTCTTCGTTGACATGTAAAGTGGCCACCCCTTTGCTATTGCAACCTATAGATAGAAGTGTGTTAGTTTCAACAATTAAAACTGGGAAAATGAATCACTGATAAATATCACATTAACAGTATTTATAACTATCACTAGACTTTTAATTATCAAACAAATTAAAAAAGGTTACATACTTGGAAAGAAGCATGGGCAAAAGAACGGATAGACTCGTCAGTGTTGTACATGGCCATGGCAACACCACCTCCAGTCTTGTAATCAAACACCTTCATTCTCTGAGGCTGACCACCCTCAGGGGTAAACACCAGCTCTACCTGACAAACATTTTAAATAGTTACTATGCATAATTGGAAAATGTTTTTCATCTAAGTGTGATTTCATGTACAGGGCAAGGAGGAATAACATCTTGTAGGAGTGAGGAAGAGCCAGTTGTGAGTGGGGGGGGAAGTTTGTGAGGCAGTAGGTAAAATGAAAGGGGGTAAGGCAGCCGGGATTGATGGGATAAAGATAGAAATGTTAAAAGCAGGTGGGGATATAATTTTGGAGTGGTTGGTGCAATTATTTAATAAATGCATGGAAGAGGGTAAGGTACCTAGGGATTGGCAGAAAGCATGCATAGTTCCTTTGTATAAAGGCAAAGGGGACAAAAAGAGTGCAAAAATTATAGGGGGATAAGTCTGTTGAGTATACCTGGTAAAGTGTATGGTAGAGTTATTATTGAAAGAATTAAGAGTAAGACAGAGAAAGGATAGCAGATGAACAAGGAGGCTTTAGGAAAGGTAGGGGTGTGTGTGGGACCCGGTGCTTACAGTGAAACATACAAGTGAACAGTATTTAGATAAGGCTAAAAAAGGTCTTTGTGGCATTTATGGATTTGGAAAGGGCGTATGACAGGGTGGATAGGGGGGGGGGGCAATGTGGCAGATGTTGCAGGTGTATGGTGTAGGAGGTAGGTTACTGAAAGCAGTGAAGAATTTTACGAGGATAGTGAGGCTTAAGTTAGAGTATGTAGGAAAGAGGGAAATTATTTCCCCGTAAAAGTAGGCCTTAAACAAGGATGTGTGATGTCACCGTGGTGTTTAATATATTTATAGATGGGGTTGTAAGAGAAGTAAATGCGAGGGTCTTGGCAAGAGGCGTGGAGTTAAAAGATAAAGAATCACACAAAGTGGGAGTTGTCACAGTTGCTCTTGCTGTGACACTGTGCTCTTGGGAGATTCTGAAGAGAAGTTGCAGAGATTGGTGGATGAATTTGGTAGGGTGTGCAAAGTAAGAAAATTAAAAGTGAATACAGAAAGAGTAAGGTTATGAGATAACAAAAAGATTAGGAGATGAAAGATTGGATATCAGATTGGGGAGAGGTATGGAGGAGGTGAATGTATTCAGATATTTGTGAGTGACGTGTCAGCGATGGGTCTATGAAAGATGAGTGAATCACAGAATTGATGAGGGAAAAGGTGAGCGGTGCATTTAGGAGTCTGTGAGACAAAGAACTTTGTCCTTGGAGGCAAAGAGGGGAATGTATGAGAGTATAGTTTTACCAACGCTCTTATATGGGTGTGAAGCATGGGTGATAAATGTTGCAGCGAGGAGAAGGCTGGAGGCAGTGGAGATGTCATGTCTGAGGGCAATGTGTGGTGTGAATATAATGCAGAGAATTCGTAGTTTGGAAGTTAGGAGGAGGTGCGGGATTACCGAAACTGTTGTCCAGAGGGTTGAGGTGGTTCGGACATGTAGAGAGAATGGAGTGAAACAGAGTGACTTCAAGAGTGTATGGAAGGAAGGCGGGGTAGGGGTCGGCCTAGGAAAGGTTGGAGGGAGGGGGTAAAGGAGGTTTTGTGTGAGAGGGGCCTGGACTTCCAGCAGGCATGCGTGTGTTTGATAGGAGTGAATGGAGACAAATGGTTTTTAATACTTGACGTGCTGTTGGAGTGTGAGCAAAGTAACATTTATGAAGGGGTTCAGGGAAACCGGCAGGCCGGACTCGTGTCCTGGAGATGGGAAGTACAGTGCCTGCACTCTGAAAGAGGGGTGTTAATGTTGCAGTTTAAAAACTGTAGTGTAAAGCACCCTTCTGGCAAGACAGTGATGGAGTGAATGATGGTGAAAGTTTTTCTTTTTCGGGCCACCCTGCCTTGGTGGGAATCGGCCAGTGTGATGATAAAAAAAAATACTTCCAGTGTACATATAAAAAACACTCCTTTAAAGTACTTCAGTTAAATTAGCAGTAATTAACTTTTTAGTGTATGAAGATTAAATGTATTAAACAGTTAAAATCATTAACTAGTAAAACTTACTGTGCCATTAGAAGGTATGACAACATCAGTGGCCTTGTATTGATCACCATGGGCATGTCTGCCAATAACTATGCTTTGAGTCCAACCAGGTACCAGGCGAGGGATTGTTTTACAGAGGATAGGCTCACGGAAAACAGTGCCACCCAGAATGTTACGGATGGTTCCATTAGGACTCAGCCACATCTTTTTTAACTTGAATTCTGCAAGATAAATGAAGAATTGTTGGAGAAACGCCTAATGGAGAGCAATATAAAAAAAGCCATACAAGACAAGAAATCATGGATATTAAATATTTAATGCTTAAGCCACTATTTGAAATGGAGTCTAAAAGGTGTCATTCAAACTATATTGGCAACAAATCCACTTCATGTGCTGGAAACAAACATACTGCTCTACTCAAAACTCAAACTCATGCTTAGTCAAATACTGCCATCACATGACTCGTACTTAATATCCCTACAACTCATATTAAAGCACAATTTTTAAGTCACTGACCACAACTGCTAACATTTGCTGACACCTTACTGTACTGGTATATATAATTTTTTTTTTTAAGTCATGAAAATTCACCTAGTACGTACATATTACTTGCAGAAATATTAGCACAAATAAATCCAAATCAGCAAATCATTAACAATGACTTAAAAAACACAACATATATATACAGTTATACTGCAACAGATATAAAGCCGTACATTATCACTAAAACTGGAAGAGTTCAACAATTCGTTTACAAGAATCATTTACAAGTAGACCACTTAAGGATAACCATGCAAGAATGTACTGGGGAAATTAGACTATAAAAGATGTTAAAAATGTCAGTAAATTAAATTTAGGCAGTGCTGCATATAAATAACATTTAAGCAAAGGCTCAAAAATTAATGCTTAAATATGAGCCAATTTATAAGATAAAATGAAGTCCCCAATATTGGTTTAAAGAGGAAATTAATTTGAGCACCGAGTATACTATAAGATGTAAATGATTACTATTTAAGGGCCTAGGCAGTAATATTGTGGAAATAGAGTAATGTCATGACTAATGCACTTGTTCTGACATGGTACTTGTCTCATTGGGAAGGAGAAATCACCGGTGGCCCGGTGGCTAAAGCTCCCGCTTCACACACGGAGGGCCCGGGTTCGATTCCCGGCGGGTGGAAACATTTCGACACATTTCCTTACACCTGTTGTCCTGTTCACCTAGCAGCAAATAGGTACCTGGGTGTTAGTCGACTGGTGTGGGTCGCATCCTGGGGGACAAGATTAAGGACCCCAATGGAAATAAGTTAGACAGTCCTCGATGACGCACTGACTTTCTTGGGTTATCCTGGGTGGCTAACCCTCCGGGGTTAAAAATCCGAACGAAATCTTATCTTATCTCATCTTATCTTACCTTCAACACGCTGTTCGTCTGGGGTGATTGTGGCACACTTAATGCCAACATTATATTTCTGTATTGCCAGAGCAGAATCTATGGTCACCTGATCGTCAGTCTGATCACGGTATGGTAAGCCCAGATCATAGTACTTACAATCAATCTGCAACAAGCCAATTGCAAATATGGATATCAAAACACCCTTAGACAAATCATCTTTAGTCAAGTATTAAAGTTATAACCTATGACCATAAAGGAAATTACATAATGCCTTTGCAAGATTGTATGTACATGATTATGGAGAATCAAATACAGAATGGGAATTGAAACAGTTGCTTTTTGCTGATGATACTGTGCTTATGGGAGATTCTAAAGAAAAATTGCAAAGGCTAGTGGACGAGTTTGGGAGTGTGTAAAGGTAGAAAGTTGAAAGTGAACATAGAAAAGAGTAAGGTGATGAGGGTATCAAATGATTTAGAAAAAAAAAAATTGGATGTCAAATTGGAGGAGGAGGAGTATGGAAGAAGTGAATGTTTTCAGATATTTGGGAGTTGAAGTGTCGGCAGATGGATTTATGAAGGATGAGGTAATTGATGAGGGAAAAAAGGCGAGTGGTGCTCTCAGTACTAGTAACCAGTTACCAGTAACCAGTGTACCAGTAGATGACTCACTACCAACCGTCTCTGCCTGAGTCACTGTCTGTATCATATTGTGCTGACCACAGCAGTATTCAAAGACCCCCTCACATATGGGTACTGTGGGCGGCCAGTCAGTTATACGAGAGTGAGCAAGGAGATAGGCAGGCTGTGGGCGCTCCCCACATTATCTGTAATTATACCGCTGCCACCATTTATCATGTGGGAGTTCGATACGTGGATAATGTAAAGTAATACTCACGTAGGCTGGAAGTACGTATAATTACAGATAATGTGGGGAGCGCCCACAGCCTGCCTATCTCCTTGCTCACTCTCGTATAACTGACTGGCCGCCCACAGTACCCATATGTGAGGGGGTCTTTGAATACTGCTGTGGTCAGCACAATATGATACAGACAGTGACTCAGGCAGAGACGGTTGGTAGTGAGTCATCTACTGGTACACTGGTTACTGGTAACTGGTTACTACTACTGAGAGTGCGTCGAGGTATATGTGGAGACAAAAAACGTTATCTGTGGAAGTAAAGAAGGGAATGTATGAAAGTAGTACCAACACTCTTATATGGGTGTGAAGCTTGGGTTGTGAATGCAGCAGCGAGGAGGCAGTTGGAGGCAGTGGAGATCTCCTGTCTAAGGGCAATGTTGTGGTGTAAATATTATGCAGAAAATTCGAAGTGTGGAAATTAGGAGAAGGTGTGGAGTTAATAAAAGTACAAGTCAGAGGGCTGAAGAGGGGTTGTCGAGGTGGTTTGGCCATTTAGAGAGAATGGATCAAAGTAGAATGCCATGAAGAGCGTATAAATCTGTAGGGGAAGGAAGGCATGGTAGGGGTCGTCCTCAAAAAGGTTGGAAGAAAGGGGTAAAGGTTTTGTGGGCAAGGGGCTAGGACTTCCAGCAGGCATGTTTGATAGGAGTGAATGGAGACTAATGGTATTTGGGACCTGACGAGCTGTTGGACTGTGAGCAGGGTAATAGTTAGTGAAGGGATTCAGGGAAACTGGTTATTTTTATATAGCTGGACTTGAGTCCTGGAAATGGGAAGTACAATGCCTACATTCTAAAGGAGGGGTTCGGGATATTAGCAGTTTGGAGGGATATGTTGTGTATCTTTATGCGTATATGCTTCTAAACTGTTGTATTCTGGGCACCTCTGCAAAAATAGTGATTATGTGTGAGTGAGGTAAAAGTGTTGAATGATGGTGAAAGTATTTTCTTTTTGGGGATTTTCATTTTGGGGTCACCCTGCCTCGGTGGGAGACGGCCAACTTGTTATAAAAAAAGAAAATACGTACATACTAGATTCAAGCCAAGATAAAAGTGCATGTAGGCAATCAAATTTTTTTTATTTCATGTTTTATGAAAATGTTTAACATGTTCACATATTCTGAAAGTAAACTCAGACCATCACATTACGCCGAATAAGATATTGACAACTGACAGCTAAGTCAAGCACTCTTAAGAACATCTATAAATTAACATGATTAAAACAGCCAAAATATACAAAGGCAACTTTCACAAAATGAGAAAATACCTCACGGTAAAGAAATTTTGAATTAGCAGTCTTTACGTACCTTAAGGTAAGGGAAAATGAGGTACTCTTTAATTTTTTCCCAGATGATGCGGGTCATCTCATCACCATCCAGCTCCACGACGGGGTTTGCCACCTCAATGCGTTTGTCAGTGCCATCTAGAAAAAGCCATTACACTGTAAAATCTGATACTGAATCAAGTACTGTATAGAATAGTGACTGAAGTGTAGAAACTGCAGAAGAGCACAGAGTACATATTGACATGTAATTTCACATCGTTTTACTTACTAGTTATATTATTTGTTTAGCAAAATTTGATATATCAGCACTGTGCTGTTACCCGAGTATGTATATACTGTACACAGTGGGAACAAAAGCTGGCTAACACCAACAACTAAGTGTAAAGGCTACAACTGTAGGTAACTAGTTAAAATGTACTCCACAATCATACAGAGCACCTGCAAGCAGGTAACTGGGCACAGGGTGTGCACCAGAATGAGTAGAAACACAGGTAACAAAACTTAAAACACAGGCAAGAGCTGTAGCAAATCTCCAAATGGAAAGGAAAACTTATTCTAAATATGGGATTATATTGGACATCTCAAGGTGATATCTGTAATGTGCTAATCGGGACCAGCTTCTTTCTTAGGATTCTGGCTCCTATCATCCCAGGCTATATTTTTTGTTCCAAGAGTTTTGCAGCACCCCCTTTTATGGAGAATTTCATCTTTTTTTTTTTCCTTCATAGTCGAACAGTTCCATGCCTTGACCTGGCCAATTTAAGCAATGACTATGCTTTTCTGAACAATTCAGATCCAGTTGGGTAATCAGTTCCTCTGCCTGGAGTGACAAAAATATAGCATGTGTGGAGAGAAGCTTATATATTTTAGACAGGCGAGGTGAAGCAGTTGCAGCAAGTGACACCTTGGAAAAATCCACAGGTAGAATTTCATGCTTATAGGTTAGACAAGCATAGAATTCACTATATCAAGATCCCAGTATGTTGCTGTGTCTGTATTGGACTGGAAAAGAAATGGGTTGGCAAATCATTTCCGCAAGAGAGATGCCAAAGTGTTGCACAAATTCATCATCCTGTCGGTTCTCGGAACCATTTATCTACAATTCAGTCCAATTAGAGGGTGGCCCACTATATAATTAGCCTCAGTAGACAAAATGGAAATGGTAATTCCTGAAATTTCTCACAAAGCAATAAACGTGATACTATTCTCTCATCCATCTACTAGTACATCGCCCTGTGCTCGTGCTCTTCAGTATTGGCACTCTCCCATTTGGCACCTCAAACTCCTATTCCTGGCACCTACCACCAGCACCACCCCCACCTAGTTTCCCTCAACTATTACAATAACTGGTTAAACTATAATTACCCATGCATAACAGTGACATTCGTGCCATTCCCAAACCTTCCAAACATCTCTTCTACACCACAATATCAGTGGTATTAACATTAACTTCCTGACATGCACACACTAACTAAACTAACCTTGAAAATACAACAATGTCACCATCTTTAATTAAAAAATATGAGGTAATTTTGCAGAGAAACTGTCCCGCTACACATGTGTCATGCACAGTGAAATTACAATGATGTAAAAATGTAGAGACAAATGTTAACATTCTCCCATGACTTCCAAACCCAGTCAACTTAAGATTAAGATGTTTATTTTGACAAATTACATGGTTGTGCAGGGGAATATTATAGTTGGGTGTACACGCCATAAGCCCCGTTGTATGCACAGCATTTCGGGCAAACTTAAAAGATTAACTTAAGATTAGTATATAACAAAGAGGCCATAACTATAAGCAAGAACCAGATGCCAAAAGGATACTAGAAAGGTTTTTCTTCCATAAAAGTGAACAATATGCTTTACAAGAAATAGCAAGCCATAGGGAAACTAAAAACGTAAGACCAAATAATGTTCTATGATCGGATACCATGAAATTAGATCTCTTACCTACAATATAAAATTATTGTTAACCAAGGTCCTCAATGTAATAACCAATTATTTGTGTCAGCTAAAGAAGTGACGATTAAGAAAACGCTAAATATTCTACTTGGTATATACTAGAAATGAAGCGTTAAACTACTAACCAAATTGTACTGCATTTTAAGAGTAAAAAAAGGGTGAAAACATCCACTACGGTCCCCTTATATAGACGGTAACCTCTGATAACTGAACCATTAACAAGCGTACACAGCAGTCTGCAGCCACAAGAATTTTGGGCCCAGAGGAGGCCCTAGGCCCAATGCCACTCAAAATTTGCATTTTTTCATATCTATTACACAGACAATCCAGCATCTGGCTACGAATTTGGTAGTCTCAGAAATGGTGGGGAAGAAGAAAACATACCATGAGATAGCGCCTTGCCTGAGACCAGTTCAAGCCTTACAAATATTATTTGTATTCATGCATTGATTTTCAACCATGGTAGCCGTCACAGAAAACCCAAGAAAGAGGAATAACCTTAACTCTCATTAATATACATGAAATGAGAATATACCACATTTTCTGGTCAGGGAAGATACCTCATCATTTGACTCATTTGAATTTTAAGGCATTTTAATGGAAAAAAAAAACTTTTATACACTTTCATACATGTACTCTTATTATCACAATTAGCTATACAACAGTTATGGAGAAAATCACGTCTACTAAAGGAAACCATGGTAAAGGGGAGGATATTCAGAATAAAACCACCGCAAAACCTAAATTTGTCACAAAATCAGCATTCCTACCAACATAACATGCAGTGGTATGAACTTTGGATACCGACAAATAGTTTAAAGATGTCAAACTGCATCCCTTCTGTCATTTTTGGTGATCAAAGTTCCGGGACCAAAGTTTTCTAACAAATATGGCCTAGTGTTTGCTCACTCATTCTTAATAACCTACAGTATTGTTATCCCTGGCAACCACCCCACGCTAACAATACAAATGTGGAAACTTTTTACATAATTTCCTAAATGTAGAAAAAAATGAATATAATAATTTTTTTTTTATATTTTATTAATAAAATCCATACAACAATATAAATCAAAATGAAAAAGCGTTACCAGGACTGCTATCCAATAAACAATATTACATACACACATCAGTGTTCTGTGTAAAAGCAAAACCCCTTCCCAATTCCTATGATACAGACCAAGACGTATAATATCAACAAAACATAATGGAGCTACCCTGCAAAACAAAGCTATACCGTGGTTACACACACAAAAAAATATCCACGATATGTAAAAATCTTCGTCTGCATAATACACTGGAAATAATCGTACTGCTACAATAATGCATGGCATAAACAATAGAGTTACAACTGACGTAATAAACAAACTTTTACTATGGTTATCCTAAGCAGTCGTCCATCAACCCCCCCCCCCGGCAGGATCCCACTTCACCCCACCAATTTATTCCCTACTACCAAATGTGCTTCTACCTATCCATACCTTGTAACAAAAGTGGAATAGTCAATATCATCAGTAAGATATCGAGAGGCATGTATATACGTACTTGGCACAATAATGACCACTCAAGAAACCGCATCATATAAATTATAGCACAACATAGGAAAAATGTTTTTGAAACAAACAGTTAAACTATACCCACTTAAAACTTCTACCATTAAAAAATCTTCCCACACACTTCCCACCCCCCTCCAACCCCCCCCCCCCCCCCCCCCCCCCCCCCCAAAAATTGAAAAAGGGGATTTAAAAAAAAAAAAGAAAAAAAATTGGGGAAAAAATTTCCCCCAAAAAATGCAGTGGTATAATTTACCCCCAAAATGTTTTTAAAACCCCAAACCCCTTTGATTTTTTACAAATTCCCCGGGAAAATTTTAAAAATATTTTTTTTTTTTTTTAAAAAAAATTTTTTTTGGCCCCCCCCAAACAAAAAAAAATTTTTAAAAATTTTTAAATTTCCCTGTAAAAAAAAAATTAAATTTTTTTTTAAAAATAAACCAAAACAATATAAACAAAAAAAGCTTTACCGGGACCCCAAAAAAAAATTTTACATAAAAATTTTTGAAAACCAAAAATTAATTATGTACAAAAATTAAATAAACAAAAAAAAAACCCTAAAAAAATTCCCTGGTTACCAAAAAAAAAAACCCGAAGTAAAACTTCCCAAATAATTTAAATTTTGCTACTTTCCCCCCCCCCCCCCCCCCCCCCCCCCCCCCCCCCCCCCCCCCCCCCCCCCCCCCCCCCCCCGTACGGGGACAAAAAAACCCCAAGAAAAAAAAATTAAGAAAAGGAAAATTTTTTGAAAAAAACAGAAGACATTAATTAAAATTTCTAAAAATTAAAAAAATTTTCCCAGAAACCCCAAAACCCCCCTTTTTTTAATACATTTCGGCCCTTTTTAATTTTTTTAATGGGAAACAAAAAACCCCCCAAAACCCCCCCAAAAATCCAAAAAAATTTTTAAAAATCAATAACACCAACTAAATTTTTGGGAAAAAATTTTTAAAAAAAAAAATTGGGGGCCCTTTTTGGTAATTTCAGATAGAAAAAAAAAATTTTTTTTCCCTCCCCCCCCCTTTTGGACTATGATACTCAATCACGCCGCAAGACACTATACCCCAACCACACAAGGGGCCTTCCTTCAAAACCCTACATACACCCCGATTACCAACACACCAAATAAAACCGTCCCCGACGCCAAAAAAAATAACTCTTCTCTCCCCCCCCCCCGGAGACCAACCCCCCAGGCTCCCCAAGGGATTATCCTACCCCCACCTCATTACTCCCTAACGTTTCCATCGTTAGATTCCTATACCCCAACGAAAAAGCTCCCTCCCAGCTTGCCCCTAACCTCTTTCCTACATTTGTCCCATAAACATGACCATCAGCGCCTTGCAGCATCGCACCCCAAGCCCCCCCATACCCATGACACAAATAGTCAAGTACCAAATATGACACAGACGCGTAAGCATCTGAGCAAACTCCCCTTTCAAGACTCAAACTTAAGCTCGACAACCCCCCCCCCCTCCCCCTCGTCGGGAAAAACCCCTTTAACCAATCCTAAACCCTTTTATAAAAAAGTCAAAAGTATACATGAAACGCCGTTTCAGCCACCCCCACCACGCACAGGTTGATCCTGGGGCTTTTCCCAAAAAGTACAATTGTGCCTTGGGCGCC